TTGCACTAAATCTACAGGAAATTTTCTTCAAAAATTTTCAACCTTTGCCCGAGCAGTTTTGCCTGAAATTGGCTTAGGATTGTGCTCAACATCTTTCTCGCTCGCTTGCCATTTAGCTGCCTGACTGCCTGCCTGCCTGCCTGCCTGCCTGTAATCAAAAAAGGTACGAACAGGCCTAGGCCAAAGTGATAAACCGTTTCCACTGACATCGCATATAAATCTGCGACAAAGTTGCGCCTGCCAGACCCACGGACAGCTCCAAATCGTGCGGGATTTGTCACGCCAAATCGTTGAAAATGGCGTGCGTTGTTTATTCGCTCTATTTTCTTCATCTCACTGTTTCTCTCTTCCTGTCTCTCTCCCTCTCCCTCTCTCTATCTCTATCTCTGTCGCTCTCACACATTCCTTTAGTTTAGCCAGTGAATTTTGTGAATTTTACACAAAACACTGGCAAAAGCAAAAATAACAATAACAGCAGCAACTCGTCTCAGGCTGTGTCGTAAATCTTCGAGTAGCTTATCTACAACAAAACTGTGTGCTTTTTAATTCGCTGCAAAAAATATGCAAAAATAAAAAAAATGGCGAAAATCTAAAGCCAACAGAAAAAAAAAGCAATGTTAATGTTTATTTAAAATTAGGCACATGTTTAACTTACTGAAGCTCTACTGAGCATATTAAGAATGCGAATATTATTTATAGAGCCAACAAATGCTGACAAGCCTTAAAAGATGAGCGCCGAAATTAGGCCAAGAAACTGAGGATGGGGGCTAAGGCCGCAAAGCTTGGGAAGTTTTTCTGACAAATTACAAACAATTTGATAACATTTTTTGTCTCTCTGCTTTTTCTAGATAGTAAATTATAAAAAGCTACATCATAAAAAAAAAGAACATAAATTCATTAAGTGAAACTGAACAAATTTGAAGGATTTCCAAATAAGAGCATTAATAGTTTTTATGAAAAAAACGATGCACGTTCAAGTAAATAAATGTACATGAAAAAAATGTGCTTATCAAAATTTAATGGCTGTTTTTCTGGGTCATTTATCATAAAGCGCAGACGCGCCAAACAATGCCACTGATTGGGGCAAAGCGGAGTTGAGAGCTTATATACATATCTGCTTGGTAAACTTGATAAACGAGATGTCGCATAAAACATTTTGGCTTATTACCAAACAAGCGGCCATTATAATGGCTGTGCATTAACACATCAGGCAGGAGAGTGATAAAATGGGAGGGAAAGTGGTGTTTGACTTCAAAACTGTCTGCTAAAATTTGCAATTATTTTAGTTTGAAATTGGCTCAGCAATAACCAAAAATAAGTGAAGTAATTTGATGAATTTGATTAAATTTCAGCGCAAAATATAATTGCATGTAAATTTATTTAAATTCATATTTACCCGCGTAATTGCTGCAAATTTACGTTTCATTTAGCCGCATCGTCGACGTCAAAAAAAAAACAAAAAACAGAAAGAAAAAAAAGGACACAAGATACGGACAAGCAAATGACCAAATGGCGGCAATGAAAAAGCAGCAAACAGATTATAACTCCCAGCTGACATTGTGGGCTTTTTTATTTGGCCATTGAAAAATGCGGCGTTGGTTGGCTCAGCGACCCAAGTGGATTTTAATTTTTCAAAAGTTAACCAAAAGCGTTAGCGACCCTTTTTTTATGTCAGTACTGAACTGGACTGGGGCCAGACTTAACCAGGAGAATGAATGTAACGTAAGGGCTGTGTTTGTTTAAACATCGCCGGGATTTAACAGCACTCCATTTTATTGTTTACCTTTCCAACTGTTTGCTGATTGATCCCATGGGCGGGTCAGTGTTTTGGGGTCAACGTAATTAATTTTGCTTTTTGATTTGTCCGTGGCAAAAGAGAACCATCAAATTGTCACGTAATTATATTTATGTTAATGATGTTTCGGGCCAGCCATGAAAAGTCAATTAATATTTTAGAAAATGAACAATTCTGATTGGACATCATTGCCAATGACGACAGACGACAGACGACACTTGGTATTTAATTAAAATGCTTGACCGCAATTTTAATGCATACTGTGATTTTTAATTTTCATGGAAATTGCATTCACCACCGAAAGCATGTAATTATTATTTATTTATATTGTTCCTTTGGTAATTGCTCTGCTTTTGAAAAGTCATTCAACTCAAGTGGCGCACGCGACTTTCAACATTTGCAAGATGTTGCCGATAAATGCTAAATGAATGCTCCATTAAGTTATATAACATCAACATTAAGTGGCTATTATTCGCCTTGTGAACAAAAACGGGTTTGGTTTTTATTTTAACCGGTATCTGCTTAAGCATCTGTACCGGAATACAATGAAAAATACCAGTCAATAGTAGCAGCAACTGATATATGAAACAGCGTTCAGATGTGAAATAGCGGGAATAGTAGTATTTAATTTATGAATGGCGTTTAAACTATGCGCATCCTTTTATGTCTTGTCTTTACTTTGTATAGAAAATCCATGGTTGCCTTTTTGAATATTTGTATTATGTACTTCAATTAACAACTTTTTATACAAGGGATTAATTGCTCTCGGACTGAAACGCGCATATTTCAACTGCAAACTTGAGCTTGAGCACATATTACTCATACGCCATGTTTAAGCCAAAATCAAAGCCAAATGTCTGCGTGTCTACTTATCTGTCTGCCTGCCTGTTGCGCTCAGTATATATATAATTATGTCCAGCACTTGTACATGGTTGCTGCTGAGCTGAGGTGGCTGACTGGGGCATATCCAAGTCTCTGTAGTATATGTATACTATAGATGTTGGGCATCAGTATGAATTACTATTAATGGTGTGTTGAATAAATTGAATTTCATTGCACGGTGACGTCAATTAAAACCATGTAAAACTCAATCGCCTTTGACGTTTTTAAAATGCAGTACAGGCATCAGTGCCACGACAGATGCCAGTAGAGAGAAGCAGCTGAGCGATAGTGGCGAGACTGATGTTTAAGGGAGCCATCACTTAATGAGTCGGCAAATGGCTGATAAAAATGCACAGGCAATATGAAAATCGGCTGAATGGCGACCATCGAGTTGGTATTGTCGCTGACAACGGGATGTGGCATGGCTCGCAAAGTTACCGAAACTGACAGGAAACATTGATAAAAGTGGCAATAATGATTCGATTCGCTTGGCTTAATGACCAGCCATTAAATGCATCACGCCTGGAGCTCTTTTAGACGATTTAATTCACAGCATTTAATAATTGTAAAAATAAAACTTTTTTAATCAAACTTCCTCCGCAAATTTTTAATGAAATAATTACTTGGAGCGAAAGGCGCCAAAAAAAACAAATACATAAATAGTTTTTAGTATTTTAAAATACGAGTCTGTTGCAAAATCGTACTCACTTGTCGTAGTTCGTTTAAGCAAAGAGACCATCAACAATTGTAACTTTTCTTTTGGTGTCAAGAAGCAGTTGAAACTTAAAAGCCAAAGTCACTACCATTGGACTACCATTTTAAACCACCAACAATTGTACGGCTGCACTGTTGCCATACAGCAATCGCTGCCTCATGCTCATCAGCAGAGAACAGGGCCAAAAGAAGCAAAGTAAGACGAAGTCGAAGTCGCCTTGATTTTGCCTCATTTCCAGCTTTACTTTTGAAGTTTTTAATTCTTTGAATCTTAATGACTTCTCGTAATAAGTTTTCATTTCTCGTAATTTCTTAGGTTAATAGAATAGCAGCTACGAGTAAAAATGGAATGACAGTGTGACAGCAAAGCAAAGTTTAAATATATATGTATATTCCATGTATAATTATTATCATGTAAAATATTGAGAATATCGAGTGTAATTTGAATATTCAATAGCGTTGATCACAAACAACTTTAAATAGATTTACGACAATCACTTCAAACAGTTTGAACTTGTCAGACTGTCAGCTTATAGACGAACCCACTGTAAGAACATTGCTCATTGAAACTTTTGTGCTGGCAACAAAGAAAAAAAAAGAGGGAGAAAACCATTATTATTATGAAGTTGACACAAAGTCAGTCAGCGGCAGCATCAGAGAGCTACAAGGAAAAACGCAGACAATAATAATGACAACGAGGACGATGTTGAGTCCTTGTCCCTGGTATGCCCAGCTACGAATGCTATTCAGAAGGAAGCTGTAGAAATGCATAAAAGTTGACTATATAAAACGCAGCAGGACCTCAGTTGACATTTATGCAATCCGCCCGCTCTAGCTTAAACTTACAAACTGGCCAAGTTGTGAGAGCGAGCAAGTAAAAAAAAATCCAAAAGTAAGCCGACTTGAAAGAAATCCAACTAAGAACCGCGTTAAATACTTCGGCCGGGCAACTAAGCCCACGTCCACGTCCTTCGCGGCTGTGGCTAATCATAAATTCCAAAGCGGCAAAAGTGCAACGCAGTAACAATTAACTTATTAAATGGGCTTTGGGGCCAAAACAAAAGCCAACACGGCCAAGGGAAGCGACAGCGCAAAAGGAAGTGCGAGCGCAAATTGTGAAAATGAAGGCAAGTGGGGCGTCAAGATGGCCAAGCAACGAAAAGTAGAGGACTGTGAACGGAAATCACAAGAAGCATCAGCACCAAGCCACTGTCATGAGCACGCCTCTTGCCACGCCCGCACAATTGTCCACATCTTCGTGTTACTTGGCCACGTGGCGTATAATTCATTTAACTGCTACATCTTCAAAGTGTTTAGTAACGCTTCCTTGATTGCCAGCGACATTTCCTAATTAGTGAAATTGATTTGGAATTTATGATGCGCAAAAAGCCTGGCTTTCCAACATCAGTCCGACTCTCTAATTGAAAACTAATGTTTTGCATAGTTGTTCTATTTTACTGGCAGCTGTTTACAGAAATGTCATATCAAACGTATTCTTATTGTTGCATATTACATACATATATATATAATAGAATTTCTATTTTTTTTTTTGCTCAACTCTTCCACTTTTCTTTGCAGTTGTTGTGACATTTTGGCAACATAAAACGCAATGGCGCCAAAGATGACGCCATTTTCGCTGCTCGACAAAATGGCGACGACGAGAACGCTCGCATCTTTAACGGAAATACGCTGCCTGTGCCGATTGCTCCTGCTCTGCGCTTGCATTGGCGCCGCAACCACTCGAGGTAAAAATAGTTTCAATTTCAGCATACGAGTATTCACAATCCGACTAATAAAACACACAACGTTCATGCCGTGACATCTTATCCATTTTAATAAATTGAGAGGCTCTCGAGTTGGAGCTTGTGTTGGCATTACTAATTAAAATTCGAAAGCTAAACATAATTCCATTAAATGGTTCTTATGCAAACATTAGTTGTGTTATTTAGAGAATTGAAAAGCCACATGGCATAAACGGATTTTGTACTACATGGATATATTTTATTTTTGTGTACAAATAAATTCATGCAGCATACATGCAAATCTTTATGCGGACAATAGCCACATTTTTGCATTTGTTGGTCAAAAATGAATGGGAAAAATTCATTTGGCACAGACATCAAAGTGTTACCAGCGGCGTATTGCGCGAAAACTAATTATCTGTCAAAATCATATTACCAAACAAGAGCAGAGATATTGTGCATTTCTGTGATATTTTTCCTCCGGATATATGCGAATATTATTAATTAAAATGTTGAAAGTGGCTTGTTTGTGTGTATGAAACACAAGTGGTGTGTGCGGGCGTTTCATATGACATATTGAAATTGTGGCATCAAATTGTCAATTTTGGTACACTACAATTATGGGATTGTTTGCTTAAAGTCAAACATTACTTTGAAGCCAGGCTCATCTTGACATCATATAATTGATTTCATATATCCTTTGACAACCTTAAGTCACAATTCCTAAATCTAAATCACAAAAATCATAGCACTGTTATAATTGCTCAATGTCAATAAAAACAAACAGACTTTTACTGACTCTTTCAGTTTGCAACTCGCTTTCCATTCACTATTTAAAATTTAAATTCAATTTCAAATATGTGTGATATCAGTAAATTGAAATACATCATAAATATACTGTACGATTAAGCAAATTATTGAGCGCAAAAAAAACGGAAATACAATGAACTGAATGCTGACTAGGTCCTGCCAATGAAATATAAGTGACAAAATCACAAAGAGAATTTTATCCGGGGTTTACATTGACTTTTGAAATCGACAAACTGAATCCTTCGTCTCGTCACACAACCGCGACAACCAAGGCAACAACAATAACAAAAAATCGCTTTAATTGGTCAAGTAGAGTGTGCTTGGCTTTGCAATATCCTGCATGAAGTAGGTTATATATAAATTCGTAAATAACTTTTGTATTATAACTAATGAAAAGCGATATATGCTTTATCAATGAACTTACTTGGCTGTTATTGTTTATGTGTTATAGATGTCAACTTCTACTTCTGTTTTATTATACCCTCTTGAAACAATATCATTGGTACAGAGTACAACATAACGATGATAAATTTATCAAAAACTTGCATCTATGTATGACACATCATGCATATACATACAGAAAAGCTCACATTACACTCAGTACTCGATGCTTGCACAGCATGAGATAAAAAAAATTGCAATTGTGATGCAACGAATGCGGATCACGTGATTGCCATGGATATGCCAGAGGATGCTTGCTGCTGCTCCCTCCGCTGCTGTTGCTGCTCTTACTGCTGCTGTTGCTGCTGTTACTGCTGCAGACGGCGCGACCAGGCAGCTCATGGCAATTTCATAGCCATATTGCGACAATTTTTATTAAAATTTAGAATTTTTCAATTTATTTAGCACTTCTCTGGGGCGCTGTCTGTGAACGTATCTCAGCACAAAACCGATGCGCCTCGGCTTGACTTTCAGGGTGCTGTTTGATTTGTTGCAGCTGCATGATATTGGTCAGCAAAAAAAAAAAAAAAAGAAAAGAAAATACAAATAAAATACAAATGGCAACGGACACCGTACGTGATTTGAATTTTGCAAGCTGCACCGTTTCATTTACCCCTTCCCGAAAGTCAGCATTTTGTTTGTTATTTAAAAGTAAAACGACAGGCAGCTTAAATGCTATCCGAGCTGGCCAACAAGAATTTAAAATTCAATTAGCCATTACGATAATAATGATGGCAACTGCTATCCTTGCTGCTTTTACCAGTTGTGGAACTTAAATGGGCAAAAAATCCAACAATTGCAGACACAAGCAACTCCCCGGCGGCCACAAGGAGCAGCAGCACACTGCCTGTCTGTGCCAATGCATGCCGGAATCAATGAAATGAAATCTGCAGTCGCGCACGAAACAAGTGGGTGAAAGCAAATTAGAAATTGCAAAAATGGCCGAGGCATTTGCCGCCAGGCATTTGCCATTTGTTTGTTATTGGTCCTTGTTATTGTTTTTTTTGCACTCGTTCTGATGACTGTCGACACGCTGATAAGTGTTACAGCCCATGGCTGGCAGCTCCAGGCGATTGCCGGATCCTGTTTGTCTTCCCGTCTAGTCGGCTTGTGGCTCGCTGGGTAATGCATTGACCCAGGCAAATGCTAATTTTATTATGACAAATGCGAAAAAGTCGAAGAAAAAACTTGTACACAGTGTTTTTTCCTGGATTTGTTCACTCTGTCAAGTCAAGTGATTCAGATACTTGTTTAATAAGCTTCAAGCGCTGCTTAATCCATGTGATGTGTGCTGTCATGAATCATTGATTCGTTAACGCAAATGATGCTCACTTCACGCTGCGATCACAGTCAGCCACCGTCTTACACATCATTTTATCTCCGCTTGGGGCAATAGCACTAATTTGTAATTACCTTACAGAAAGCAAACAGGAGCCAGACAGGCGTATAACTTAAGCCGCTGACTGTGAGCGCATAATTGAAAATGATCGGACGAAACAACGATAGGCTGGCTGGGCCAGCTGCCTAGTAGCTACGCTTAACTTAAGTAGACATTTAGTTGGCATTGCAGCAACGCCTACCGAGGGGCCCTTGGAGTCTGGGTCTGGGTCTGGCTAACAATTGTTGGCACAACTTCAACACCATTGCCAGTCAACAAATTATTTAACAAACCATCCTAGAATCGAGCATGCAACCAAGTTGAATCTGCGCCTGCGTACACCCTTCCACCTTCAGCTGTCAACTCTAATCTAAATAAGCGATTTGTCTGCGCATAACTCTGATGCCTTAACCGGATTGCAGGCTCCAATGTGAGTGTGGCATGCAACCGCATCGTAGTCGCAACAGTTTGTCCAGCCCGACTAAATAATAATTTGTATAATTTATTCGTGGAACTCAAGGCGGCAGTTCAGAAATTTATAGCGCGATAGCTTCTTATGGCCAGCTGCGTAGTTGCAGAAAAAATACCTTCAACTGATACTACGCTTATAAATAATTAACACGTGCATTTGTTGTTGGCACTTGGACTTTGGAATTTGCATTGTAATTGGAAATCTGTTGTAGCCAGCTTGTTCTTGCTTTTTATGGTACTTTGTTGACTTACACGATGGTAGCGAAATTACGCAGTTTCCGACTGGCATTTGAAATCTTCAGCATTGCGTCAGCTGCTGGAGTCCCTTCCTTCTATTGTCTGACAAATTTTAATATGCGCTTTCAAAGCGGAGTACATAACACTCAGCAGCTTAGAATACAGCTTCCGTGACCTCGGGCCTTTCTCTGATGCCAAGCCTTTTGTCTACAGCCAACTCTGAGTCACTTCACACTTGAAATGTGTCTGCCCAATTGTTATGTGACTAAAGCGTTTAACTTTAATAAAAATGTTATTGACCTCGACAGAAGGCATTCAGAATTAAACGCATTTCAAATGGATAGTAAGTTAAGAGTGAATCAGTACACAGGTAACAAGCCATAAGGGATATATATATGCATATGGGAGTATACGCTTGTTTAGTACGACTAAGTCAATATATTCATGCCTAAATGTCCTTTAGCTTCAGACCATACCAAGTAAGTTTTGTTAATAGGTTAAAGAGTTCAGTGCAGTGATACGCATCATCAAATAATTGAATTAATATTATATATCAGGCACACACTAATATCGCTTCAGTGCAACATAAGTCATTATGTTCATGCGCCTTAACGAAATAAGTCCGAAACAGGCATCCACTATTCCCTGATCGACTTAGTTGTGGTAATTGAGGACAACAATACAAAAACAATATGGCAACAAGAACAGAGCGACAATCAAGCAACTATTGGTGCCGGCTGCTGTTCAGAATTCACAGATATGCCTCACTGCCGCAATGTCAGTTCGGAGAAATTTAAATCATTGTTAACTATTCATTTGTCATGTATTACCGCAGCATTGCTGGTTCTCCTCGTGCCTCACAGTGGCGGCATCAATTGTTCATGTTACTATCAGTAGAACTTCATGAGGCGACTCGAAGACAATAGACCCCTTGAAGGCAGCCCGACACAATCAGACAATTTCCACTCACTTTCCCCCACACACCTTTATCTTGCTGTCTCCCTTAATTCAAGCATGTTATCCTATCGGAAGCATTCAAGCCACGGGTGGGCGCCTCAACTTTTACTCCTGTCTTTATGTCTGATTGTGTAGGTGTGTGTGTGTATATGTATTCCATGTAAAAAGCAAGCAGCTGCCACACACACACACATGCACGTTCTGCTGCTGCTGCTGCTAGTGAAATTGTTATTATTCTAGTGGTATTGTTGCAGCTTAATTGAAAATATTGTAAGTACAACGTTACGTTTGTTTGTGTGTGTTTAGTAATCGCTTGCAGCATTCCGTTGCGCCGCACTACAAATGAAATTAATTGAATACCCCCGGGCGGCACACACATAGCCATACACACACAGCCGCACACACATATTGCTTAATATCTAACTAACGAACACCTAACTTTTAACGCCTAATAACTGCCGGCTATTGACATTGGCCTTTTGTGAATGGGCCAACTCTGATGAACAATGTGTGGCGAACAATGAATGACAACTTTAAAGTGGGCATACGCAAGTAGACTGCAGTGCTAAATCAATAACCGATCCTCATATTGAGCTTATATTGAATATACATACCTTATATTGAATATACATACCTTTGATGGGTTGACAAAGTTTTGACTCACTTGCTGTTGGCCATGTTAATTTAACCATGTAGAAGCACAAAGTTT